TGTACAAGGATCTAGGATTTGAACCTTAACTCAGAGGAAGTGATGCTCTTCTAACTACAATTAATATATACATGTGGGCAGGGACTGATTCACTTCTGTATCCCCAGCTAGCCCAGGACCTGGCGCAGATCAGGTGTCCATTAGTGTTTGCAGAATAAATGAACACCAGGTCAGATGAGAGGGAGACTGTGGTGTGTGTATAACAGGCCTAGATGAATAACTGCCTGGCCCAGCAGTAGAAGCTGGTAAGCCCAAAGTGGAAGAAACCTAACTTTTACTTCTTTTATTATAATTTTGTTTAACAGCCACTTATTGAGCACATAAGGACCATGCACACTAAATACCCCACAAATGAATTAAAATATAGCTCCTGCTCTTAAAACTTCTAGGTTCAATATATACAGTTTTTAGGTTCGTAATAGTTTATCTGATATCGATATTAAATTTATAGCTCTGAGATATTTTAAGGAAATTAAAAATTAAAAAAAATCTCAGCAGGTAAGTCTTCATCTCAAAGGCCTTTTAACATCTTTACATAGTGAATATCTACTAGCTTACAAAGAACCAGTGGTGGCAGAGATCCACCCCTTCAAGTATCATTTCCTACTACTTGCAGTGAAAGTGGCTAGGCCGGATGGGCAGTGATCTTAAGGAGGAGATTCCTGGGTACAGGGACTATCTTATTTATCTTTGTGCCCAAAGTAAAGGCCCTAGCACAGAGGTCATAATGCTTGCTCAGTGGATCAAACATAATGAGATGGTTTCAATAAAGATACTGACTAATCCTCTGCTCCAGTCTCTTGAGGGAGCAGGTTTAACTCTGAGCAGTGGGGAACCAGGTCTCTCGAGGCTCTTTAAACTACGCCCGGCAGGTCTCAGCAGGTGCTGTAGAGACAAGAGACGGGAAACAGAAGATGAGCTCAACCAGCACCAACTACTGGTTTAGAGTCTGGCAAGTCTCCTGAGGGTTTACTGAGTGTGCACCTGGACTGTAGGCTGAGTGGTCCAACAGAGACTGAAAGACAGAAGCAGAGCTAGCAGGTGAGAACACTCAGGCTCTGGACGGCCATCTGGCACAGTCCTCACTATCTCCAACTCCTGCTCTTGCCTGAGGAGTCTTGATATGTTAGGTGGGTTGCTCTACATTTTCTTATGATGTTGCTGATGAGGCTTAGGGAGGGGAAAAAACATGCCTAGGGATACAAAGCTAGAAAGAGACTGAGCTTGGAGGGTTTCACCCCAAGCCTGGAACACTAAACACTTTTTCACTATTGCCTTATTCAGCTGCTTTGTAAGGTTTTTTTGTTCTTTGCTAATAAGGCAGTAACAGTTTTAGTTTAGTAAATGAGGATTTGGATTGTTAGTGAACAGATCAATGCAGTTTAGTGACCTGAAACAATTGGAAGTATGGACTTTTGGGATCCCCAATAAGCTAGCTCAAGGTCCCACATTTAAATGTGCACAAATAATGCAAGGTGCCTCGGTGGCTCAGTTGGCTGAGCGTCTGACTTTGGCTCTGGTCATGATCTCATCATTTGTGGGTTCGAGCCCTGTGTCGGGCTCTGTGCTGACAGCTCAGGGCCTAGAGCCTGCTTCATATTGTGTCTCCCTCTCTCTCTCTCTCTCTGCCCCTCCCCGGCTTGTGCTTGTATGTATGTTCTCTTTCCCTCTCTCTCAAAAATTAAACTTAAAAAAAAAAGTGTGTACAAGTAATGCAAATGAATGAAGGGGTCTGGATGGAACCAGAGTGGCCTTCAAACCTGAATTCACAGTAATCATGGCTCTTCTAGCTTAACTGTGATTGCTGTATACATGTTCTCTGAACTATGAGCTCTTTGTAGGCAGGGACCATGTCTGATTCACTTCTGCATTCCCAGCTAGCCCAGGCCCTGGCACAGATCAGGGTGTCTTTCATACCAGGGGTAGACACTACTCAAAGACTTCATATTACTGCCTTGCAGAAATGTGGGCCCAGTGGCACCAGATTTTTAGAGTTTTAAAAAAATGGCACAAATCCAGTTTGTAGGAATCTTTTGGTTTTTGAGAAATTGGCTTAAAACCAAAACAGTATGTGACCTGGGACCTTAGAACCTATCTGTGGACTGGAAGTGGTCCTATTTGCTGTCTTGGGCATGCGACACCGAGTTTCACCTTACTCACCCACTCTGTGTAAACAGAGCTGTACAGCTCTGTGGGAGACACAGGTCCTCACCAAAGGCACGCTAGGGGGCAGAACAATGACTCCAACCCTTTCAGCAGGTGCTTTTCACCAAGGCACAAAAGCCTGCTTCTGGCATCCAGAAACCCCCTCCTCAACAAAAAAGTGGGGTACAATCAGAAAAGAATTTGTCAGTTTGTTTCACTTCTTTGTGGCTATAGTAAAAAAAAAAATGCCTTGTAAATCCACATAGTACACAAGAGTGTCCTTTTGGGGGGGCAGGAGGCACCTGAGACCCATAACGGGAGTTATTTGGGCTTATGTTGTTACATGGGCATTTGTTTCTTCATCTGAAAAACAGTGTTAATAGCGTTTATATCCTTCAGTTCATTAACATTTGTTAATCACCAGGCATAGGGTTACAACGGTAACTGACGTGGTTCCTGCACTCTCAGAGTTCATGTAGCAAAAGTAGACCAATAATTAAACCAGTAGTTAACTCATCACATTTGTACTAAGTGCTGAGGAAAGAAGAGGAGTGGTGGAAAGATTAGAAGTATGGTATGTAAAGTGTCTGGTGTGAATAAATTAATGAATTTGCAGGTCAGACAGTAGAGTAGATAATGATGATTATAGCTCTTAGGAAAGCTGCGTCCTAAGTAAAACCTAAATGGTTAAGCCCATTACCCAAAATTTTGGCCATGAATACTATAACCTAAGTGGCAGGGGACCCTAAAGTATTGCTGATCTGAATGGGAAGGAGAGAAAACAACAGCTCCCCTGGCTCTCCCTATCCTAACTCTCTCCTTTTGGACTCCCAGGACGGCCCAGAGAAAATAAAGAGGAAAGCTAGAGGGGGAAGCAGGTTCAGGGTCTGAAGTTAGACCAAGCAAGGGTGGGGTCCAACCTGGGGAGTTGCATCTTTGGAACCAGTCTCAGCCCAGGGGAGGGGGTGGGAGTGAAGGTGGGGCTTCTGACACTCAATAAGTGGTGACATTTTCATTAATTAAAAATTGTATTGTGTCTGAAACACAAAGGAGACCAGCATCAAAACTAGGTTACAATAAGCACAGGTTCTCAACGGATTCATTCTCTCTCATTCACCTACTTATTTCCACTCAGTGTCAGCAAGGCCCAGGGCTAGGCATGGAGGATCAGAGATAGATGACATAGTCTGTGCCCCTGCGGAGTTCACAGTGCAGTGCGGGGAACAGATACATCAACAGAATGTCTCACTGAAGAATAGGGAGTGCTACCAAAGGGAAGCACAGGGGGCTGTGGGCACAAAGGGGGACACCTCACGCAATTGGGAAGGTCAGGGAAGGCTTTCTGGCAATGGTACCCCAAATGACATCCCCACTCACATGCACAATTCCAGAGATTCTACTAGAAGGCTGTCAAGAGCCATGCCTTCTGGCTGCACCAGCCTCCCAGAGTCCCCTGCTGCCCGATGCAGTGTCTGCAGAGCCAAACGCATCTTCCGCCACGCCTCATCCTCATCCGGCGCTGCATCCGACCCTCCAAGACTCCTGCAGGAGCCTGCCTTCCTTGGCAGGCTCAGCCAAAAGACCAACTCAAAACTCTTTTGTCAGAGCAAGCTTAGGGCGAGCCACCCAGCCCCAGGTGCCACAACCCTCCCAGAGCAACTGTGGCTCATGCCACCCCGGGCTCTCAGTGAACACTGGCAGGGTACCTCCCATTATCTCCTTTGCTCGAAAGAAAGTGACCTTCTTCCAGGCGGCAAGCTGGAAGCTTTGTGGAATCCTGCTACTACTGCTCACTCTCAGCAGGATTCACCAAACCCAGAGATGGTCTGAGGGTTGAGGTGGGCCACCTTGTGGGTCAGGGGTATAGAGGGAAGAAAGGGAAGGCTTTGCTAGGTTTTCACTTCAGTGCAGGAGCCCCACTAAATAGTCTTCTAGGCTGCCTGACTGTCTGCTCCAACTGCTCTGCTGGGCAGGGAGAGGAGAGGCCCTAGGAGACGTACGCTGGGGGCACACGACTGCTGAAGGGGCAGTGGCTGCAGGCAGTGAGGGGAAAGGGTGGGGCCGTTCCCAGGGTGGGGGCAGAGGGAAGAGGCTGTAGAGCCCCAGGCTGCTCTGTGGGTAGGTGGTGAAGCAGGTGGGCCCAGGGGGAGAAGGGCAGAGCTGGGCTGTGGCCTCAGGATCAGAGCCCAGTCCCAGTGTGGGTGGGTACACGACCAGAAGGTCTAGCCACTGCTCCAGTCCGGAGGCGGCAGCCTGGTCACAGGACAGGACGGGCCATGCTTCGGCTTGGAGAGAAGGGTCCAGCCTCCACTCCCGCCTCGGGGGAGAAAGCCTCGGACCAGCTGGTGGAGGATGGTTCATCCCCAAGCTCACCCCGGCCCCCGCTCCCGGGAGGTGAAAGTGCCGGGTCAGCCGGACTCGCCTCGCTCGCTCCTACCTGCGGTCCGGGCGCCAACTTGGGCTCGTCCTCCTCCCTGGGGTCGTGGGGGTCCGGCTCCGCTGGCGCCTCCGGGGGCCCTGCACCCGGTCCGGCTTCCAGGCTCGGCGGCGGCGGGGGCTCGGGAGCCTGGGGCTTCTGCTGCCCCGCGCCTCGCACCCGCTCGCGCCGACCCGCGCCGCCGCTCGGCCTGCTCCGCCTCCGAGTCATGCCGCTGCTCGCGCCGATCCCTCGCTCCACACGCGTCGCCGCCGCCGCCGCCGCCGCCGCCGCCGCTCCCCTCGCAGGACAACAGCCAATATGGCGGCGCCCGGCTCCCCCCTCTGCTGCTGCCAGCAGGTCATAGGGCGCGGCGGCCGCGCCGCCGCACTAGCCCCCGAGGCTGCCTGCGCCATTTTGAATAAGGTCACCACCTGAAGTTCCGTGAGAGTGGGAACCTGATGGACTCGCGGGATGCGACCCATGCCGGGAAGGGGTAGTTGCTGTGGTAACCGTGCTGCACGGCCCTGGGCCTGTAATAATTGCCTGTTAAATGGATGAGTGAATTAATAATTTCTAGAGTACTTTCACACCTACCATCTGACTCCTTGTACTCACACGGGGAGGCAGGTATGGTCGTTCCCATTTGCAGTGGAGAAAATCGAGGCCACAGAAGGCGAAGTGGGCTGCTCAGCATCAGCCAGCCGGAACTCATGGGCTCCTGGATAGTTTGAGGTGAAAGGGAAGTGGGAATGGTCTGGGTCTTTATTTGCAAAGTATGGTCAGTGGGGAGTCCAGCATTCATTGCCTGAGACAGCAGAGCTCAGGCTCCTGCCCCAGTCTGGTGGGGAAATTGGATAGTTAAGTATACAGTTACAACCAGTGTGATGAGATGAAAATGACTGGGGCACATACTAGGTCAGTGTTGCAGCAAAAGTTGTATGTGCAAGAGAGGTTTTAGAGTGGTACACGAAGGAGCATTTAAAAATGTAATTATGTATTTAATTGTTAAAATGAGCTTTCCCTTCTTTTTGAATTTATGAGACATGCACATGGTGCATATTTTTAGAAAAAAATTTGAGTGCAATCTCTCATGCCAGGGCCAGTGAAACTATGTAGCGGTTATGTGTAGAGCTGCTCTTGATATCATTAAAGAGGCGGAATTATGACGTTAGCCTAATTAATGGGAGCAGGGCCTATTTTGAGAAGTACTACATGGCCCTGGAGCTTTCCTGAAGTGCCAGGAACCTAAATGAAAAATACTTCATCTCAGGTGGCCAGGGTGACTAGGTTGGTTGAGCACTTGACTCTTGATTTCTGCTCAGGTCACAGTCCCAGGGTCTGGATCAAGCCTCTGTGCTGAATGTGGAGCCTGCTTTAGATTCTCTTTCTCTCTCCCTCTACCCATCTCCCTTTCTCTCTCTCTCTCTCTAAAAAATGAAAAAGAAAATAGAAAAATGCTTTATCTCATTACAGGGATTAGTGCCATCATCAAAGAATTGAAGGATTTCAGGGTGATTCCCCCTACATCAATATGACCTCTTAGTTTGGCCAGAATAGACGATAGATACTATTTTTCCCATTTATTTGTTTTTATTGTGGTAAAATATGCCTAACATAAAACTTAATGATCTTAGACATTAAAATTTTTTTTAAACGTTTTATTTTATTTTTAAGAGAGTGCGCGTGAGCAGGAGGGGTAGAGGGAGAGGGAGACACAAAATCTGAAGCATGCCACAGGCTCTGAGCTGTCAGCACAGAGCCAGACATGGGGCTCGAACTCAGTAATGGTGAGATCATGACCTGATGAAGTCAGATGCTTAACCAACTAAGCGACCCAGGCACCCCCTAATCTCAGCCATTTTTAAGCATATAGTTCAGTGGTATTGAGTATGTTCATATTGTGTGCAGCCATTAACACCATCCATCTCCAGAACTCTCTTCATCTTGCAAAACTAAAACTCCGTACTTGTTAAATAATTACTCCTTATTATCCGCTTCCACAGCAGCCTCTGGCAACCATCATTCTACTTAAAAACAATAACAACAAAAAACTCTTTTTCTCTACACCTCAGCCTCTGGTAACCACTATCCTACTTTCTGTTATCATGATTTCAGCATTTTTTTTAGTACGCCACATATAAGTGAGATCATGCAATATTTGTCTTTTTGTGATTGGCTTATTTCACTTGGCAAAATGTCCTCCAGGCTCATCTCTGTTGTTGCAAATGATAGGATTTTTTTCTTCTCTTCCTCCTCCTCCTCCTCCTTTTTTAAGTTTATTTATTGAGAGAGAGAAAGTGCGAGCGCACAGAGCCTGCTCTGGGGCTGGAACTCGGGAACCATGATATCATGACCTGAGCCAAAATCAAGAGTTGGGCGCTTAATTGATTCAGCCATCCCACAATGTTTTTCTTTCTTTCCTTCCTTCCTTCCTTTCTTTCTTTCTTTTTAATTTTTTAATGTTTATTTATTCTTGAGAGAGAGATCGACAGCGTGAGCAGGAGAAGGGCAGAGAGACCCGGAGACACAGAATCTGAAGCAGGCTCCAGGCTCAGAGCTGTCAGCACAGAGCCTGATGCGGGGCTTGAACCCATGAACTGAGAGCTCATGACCTGAGCCGAAGTTGGATGCTTAACCAACTGAGCCACCCAGGCACCCCTGTTTTTCTTTTTTAAGGTTGAATAATATTCCTTTATATATATATTTTATACATGCATGTATTTTTATACTTACTTTTTATATGTATTTCATTCATATGTGTATATATATGTATATGCCGCATTTTCTTTATTGATGGAGAAGATAGGGGGTCTTGAAGAAAGACAGAGCATATGACAAACTTATTCTGGTAAGGACTCTAGTTGCAGGCACTTTTTCAGAGTGCTCATTCTTGGATCATGTGGGTGCAGTTGTTGGCCTCTAATAGACAACTGTAGAGTCTAGTAAGCGCTTTTTCTTCTATACCAAATCTCAGGAATAGTTTGTGTTCCTCTGGCAGGGACAATAGTAAACCTTTACTCTTTTGCTTCAGTAATATGTCATTCTCTGAACATACTTACTTTGTAGTGATTTTTCACCAAATCACTATTCTATTGGCTATCAGGTTAATCTACTATGACACCATTCTGATGGGCCTTGAGAATGGGAAGTAGGAGATACCATAGATGATGGTAAGCATGATGTATGTGCTATAAGGCAGATAATAAATTTCACAAATATACAGTGGTCTGTCCACTCAGTGCAGTATCCAGGGGTTTGGGGGTATATTGAGATATTCCCTATAAAATTAAGGACAAGTTACTGTACATCACACTCCCTATCACTAAAAAAAGAGGTACAAAACTTGGTGGGCTTTTTTAGTCTTGGGTGGTAAAATATACTGTATTTAGGTATGTTACTGAGTCACTTGAAAGCTGTCAACTTTAGCAGGGACCATACAAAGAGAGAAGGTTTTACTGGATCAGGTTGCAGAATAAGTAGTTCTGCCTTTGGTCTTTATATTCAGGCATTGGATTTTAGAACAAAGTTATGTCCTCCTTTGACAAAGAGCATCTCCTTTTGAGATGCTCCTGACTTGCTCCGGGAGTCTAGTGGGACTGGTTGCCTGACCATGGCATACCAGGTTACCAGGTGACCTAAACTACCATGTTGTCTGATCTACCCAGCCAGCAGCGCTCTATTACCAAGAGGGGTGACATACATGGCCTGGGTCCAAGCAAGCCCTAAAGGCACAAGTACAGTAGGTTGTCTGAGTGAGTTGTTTACATTTCTCTCCTGTCATTCATGGTCTCATGGGGAATTGTTTATGATAAGTTGACTAAGGAAGAAAAATCTAGAGCCCACTTTATAGATGGCTCTGTACAGTGTGCTGGCTTCAGCCAGAAGTGGATTACTGGGGTAATCCTCTAAGAGGGCCCAAGGGACTTCCTCTAAGAGGGCCCAAGGGACCTAGAAAAGGGAAATGTGCCCATAAGCCATGAAGTACAGGCACACTGATTCCTGGGCATTGGATAATGGTTTGGTCTGTTGGTCAGAGACTCAAATGGAAACACTGAAGGTTAGTGACAGTTAAGTTTTGAGAAAGATAAATGTGCATAAACTGCCCAAAGTGGCTTCGAAGCATAAAGTGATTTGTGTCTCAGGCGGACATTCACCATAAGGACCTCACTATGGAAGAACCTCTTCTACCTGGTGGACACTATGACACCTTCTGTGACTAACAGGCAGTCCCCTTCCCTAGCCATTCTGGGATTTTCTCAGCGGGTTTATGACAAAATTGACCCAGCAACATGGACTGCTCCGTCCCACGGCTGGCCTCGCCATTATCAGTGCGGAGTCCTCTGGTCAAGAAACCAGCCTAAGCCCCCAGGGCGGGACCTTATTTTGAGAAGACTGGCCAGCTATCTTCTGGTAGAGATTGCCTTGGACTGTGTATTAGTTAGGGTTGGCCACCTGCTGTAACAAACCATCCCAACATGTGAGGGATTTAATGCCATAATAGTTTAGTTCTTTTTCACATCATAGTCCAATGCTAGTCAAGGGGGATTTGGTTCATACACTTATTCAGGGATCCAGTCTCCTCCAATCTTGTGGCTGTCCCTTCATCTAGGTTCTCTCCATTCAACTAGAGGATAGAGAAGAAGATAGAGTGAGGGTTGCATGAGATATTTTTATGAGCAATACCCAGAAATGACTATACATCATTTTCACTCACGTTCTCTTGGTGAGATGTTAGCCATATGGCTCCACCTGATTGTAATCCATCCCCTCTTCCCGGACAACCACTGATCTGCTGTTTCTATGGATATTTTGCATTTCATATAGTATGAACTGTTTTGCCTGAGTTCTCTCCCTCAGCATAATTATTTTGTGACTCATCCATGTTGTGGTGTGTATCCATAGCCCATCCTTTCTTACTGCTGAGTGGTAGTCCACAGTGTGCAAGTACCATAGTGAACTTATCCATTACAGTGATGAGCAGTCATGACAAACATTTCTCATACATTAAGTTAGCTTATTATGCCACTCTGAGAACTGGAAGAAAATATATATATATTTTTTATATTTTTTTATTTATTTCTAGGAGAGAGAGAGAGAGAGACAGCATGAGCAGGGGAGGGTTAGAGAGAGAGGGAGTCACAGACTGAAACAGGCTCCAGGCTCTGAGCTGGCAGTCAGCACAGAGCCCGAAGCGGGGCTCGAACCCACGAACCGCGAGATCATGACCTAAGCGAAAGTCGGCCGCTTAACCGACTAAGCCACCCAGGCGCCCTGGAAGAAAATATTTTTAAATCAAGTATACCTATACTGGAGCTACATAATCTGCAACTGTGTATTTATATATACATATTTTTACATGCTAACTCAAAAATGTGTGAAAGCACGGCTAGCTTCCTAGATGCATAGCCTGTTTAGCCACTCAGGGCACTACCTTCAGAAGGGCTGTGAGCTTGGCTTAATGCCTTGCCTTTGTCTTCTTGAAATTAAAAAAAAAATTACTGAGATTTTTAATTCCACTACAGTTAACATACAATGTTGTATTAGTTTCAGTGTACAATATAGTGACTCAACAATTCTGTACATTACTCAGTGCTCATCATGATAACATACTCTTTATTCCCTTGAAAAACTTTTTAAAAAATGTTTATTCATTTTTGAGAGACAGTGCTACAAGTCGGGGAGGGGTGGAGAGAGAGGGAGACACAGAATCCGAAGCAGCTCTGGGCTCTGAG